TCAGCAGTAGTGTCAGTAGACGTGGGAACGGGGTAGCATGAGCTAACTCCCAGGGCGACATAAAATGCAAGGCGATCTTGTGGGAACAGTGCAATGACAGTGCCGAAATCCCTTCCAAAAAAAAAAAAAAAAAAAAAAAAAAAAAAAACTCAGATTACCCGTGAATTAATGATACCGATAGCGAAGTAAGGAACAAATGGCTAGGGAATATTTAGCGGAGACAGTCACCCAGCACATTGGCGATCAGGAAGAGAATTGGCTTGGGAATCATTATTCATATATACGTATTGGCATTTACGTCTATAATTTAGGACTTGGCAGCACCAGCCTTGAAGAGGATGATATCACCATCCTCAACAACGTAATCCTTGCCCTTGGTCATGACCTTACCCTTGGCCTTGACCTCGGATTCATCACCGTACTCCCGGAGGACGCTGTAGTTGTAGACGACAGCCTGGATGAAGGTCTTCTCGAAATCGGTGTGAATGACACCGGCGGCCTGGGGAGCTTTGGTGCCGTTGCGGATGGTCCACTGGCGGACCTCGTCGGGACCGGTGGTGAAGAATGAGCCGAGGTTGAGGGCCTTGCGCATCTGGATGATGATCTTGGGCAGAGCAGACTCGGCGCCAACCTTCTTGCACTCCTCAGCGACCTCAGCATCGGTCTCGAAGCGGGTGAGGCGCTCCTCAAAGGAGACGGAGAGAGGGATGATGGGATCACCCTTGGCGTGCTCGTTGATCCAGGCGGCAATCGCAGGAAGATGCTTGTTCTTCTTGCGGATGTAGTCGCGCTCGGAAAGGTTAACGAGGTAGACGACGGGCTTGGCAGTCAAAAGGAAAAGAGGGTTGATGACCTCGATCTAAAATCACGCGAGTTAGCATGTGTTTCGATAGCCAGTAGCGAAATTTTATGCATAGTGATTTGATAGAAGGGTTTTGTGTCAGGATAAAGTTTTTGTCTCATGTATCCTCTAAGAGGAATCGAAGAGCTGGGTTTATAATGAGGCCTTGGGCCTGTTCTCATCATTCAAAGGTTTGGGAATCGTGCGAGGATGGGGGGAATTGGTTGCTTACCTCCTTGGGACCCCAGGTGCCCTTTCGGACCTCCTTGCCGTCCTTGAGGTGGGCCAAGATCTTCTCGATGGTGGCCTCTTCCTCCTTCCACTGCTTCATCTGAAGAGACTGGCCGCCCTGGCGGGTCTTCTTCTTCTGGTTCTCGAGGGCCTTCTCGACGAACTCGATATCCTTGAGACGAAGCTCCTCGCTGATGATGTCAAGATCACGAGTGGGGTTGACATCACCCTCGACGTGGATAATCTCGGCATCATCGAAAGCACGGACGACCTGGAAGATGGCATCGACGGCGCGGATGTGGGACAAGAAAGCGTTGCCGAGACCGGCACCGGTGGAGGCACCGCGGGTGAGACCGGCGATATCGTAGACAGTCAAGTTGGCGGGGACGCGCGACTTGGGCTGGTACTTTTCGCAGAGCCAGTCGAAGCGCTCATCGGGGACGATGACGCGGGCCTCCTCGGGGTCGATGGTGGCATAGGGGAAGTTCTGCGCGCGGGGAAGGGTGGGTGTGTTAGCTTCGCGTGATCGTGATCGCAATCGTCGTCGTCGTCGCCGTCGTCGACAATGGAGGGGAGGAGGGTGTCGCTTACGGCAGGGTTACCAAGGTTGCACTTGGTGATGGCCTGGAAGAGCGTGGACTTGCCGACGTTTGCCAGTCCAACCTAGAATCGGCATCGAGAAACAGTGTCAGCGGGGCTGGGGAGATGGAGCCTAACCTAGGCGCAACCCACAATGCCGCTCTTCAGGTTGTTGCCGGGACGGCCCAGGAGGATCTTCTCCTCGACGACCTGCTTCTTGGGAGGCATCTTGTTCCGTTTGCTATAAGAACGGGTGGAGATGTAGACGAAGGTGCAGTTAAGCCCTTTTCTGTTTGGTTGGAGCGCGAGCGCGGACGGGAAAGAGGCAGAGCGGAAGCTGCGAGAGCTGGAGCTAGCAACAGCTGCTGCGACTTTGGTTCGAAGGAGGGGTAGAGACGAGGAGGGTAGTTGCGAGGCGGAAAATAGGGATCGGAGCCCTAGGTGAGGAGACGTTTTGACGGTTGCCAGTGGGCTGAAAGAGGCTTACTACCCCCGCCCAAAAAATACACAACGTTTCGGTAAAAGTGTGAAAATTGGAAGGAAAGAAAAGAGGAAGGTGAAAGGGAAAGAAAAAGAAAACAAGGCAGCAGATCTGCACCAGCCGCTAAGAAGGACAAGTCAATGTTTCAAAGCCGTGGAATTGTTTTTTTCGGGGTACTGGTCGATCGCTTGATGGTCCAAGGGTTGTTTTTGTCTGAAAAGTGAAGAAAAAAGAACAAAAAAGAAACAAGAGCCAACGTTGTCAGATGTGCAAGGACAAGTGGTATTTTGTTTTGGGGGGATTTTTCCTCTTTTGAAAGAATTGCTCATTCAAAAAAAGATCGCAGAGGGAAAAGGGCGATTGCAAATTTTTTTTTTATCCAGCCCTTGTTTGAAAACAACTCGCGGCCCGAAGCCAAAATCATGGTCGTGTCAGTGCCTGTTTCCATTTTCAAGTGGGGTTGTCTTTTTTCCCTCCTGGAAGATTGTATCACCGATTCAGGGCCTCGTCCTGAGCGGGGTGTTCTCACAGGCGGCTTCCCTGCTATGATGACGCTCCGCGACGACGACCCCGGCACCTGTCCGCGAATAGGTCAGCCCTTCGACGCAGCTGCCAGCCGCAAAGGTGCGCCGGATCCCCAAGGGTCCCGTCCCCCGGCCGCACCTACAATGACATTCATTGACTGCTGCCCATTTCATCCCGTCGTCGTACAAACCACCCCCAGATCGAGCAAATTGGAAGTATTTCGGGTCGTCATTTACCTGTCATTTACGCCTTTATATCCTACAGCTACATACTCCTCCAGACAATACACCCAACATTATCTCCGTTCTTCCTTTTCGCCTGCTTAAAGGGTCCGTGTTCCCCAATTGCAATCGTGCGCATCTCCGTCGTTTCGCCTCCAGCTCTTCCATCGACTACCTTTGCGATAAGCGCTTATCGAGCGGTTGGGGCCTGAATAGCTCTTTGTTTCCAAGGGTCCGAGACCTTGTCTTGAGTCGCCAACTTCGAGGGACCGTATGCGCCGCATTCGTATGAAGCAGTGATCGATCGTATTTCAGCAACCGACTTCTCTCAACTAGTTTCCGCCCGTTCGAGGAGTCTCAACACTCCCGTCCCAGGTCCCCTCCATCTGTCCATCTAAGCGGGGGAAGAGTACTGCTGCTACCAACCGTCGTCAACATGTCAAGCAAGAAGTCACACAAGCCGGCAAGGTCTCACCGATCGACGCTGTCAATGCAAAAGACCGAAATTCTCATCAACGTCTATGATCTTTTGCCGGTACGTTCGAAGCTTCTTCTCTCTCCCGTTGCCACGAAGTATACTAATCAACCTTCCGTTTGCTTCTCTAGCCCGGCCGCATCTCCTCGGCCCTCTGGTTCTTCGGAACCTCCCTCCTCCACTCCGGCGTTGTCATCAACGGCCGCGAATACGCCTACGGCGGCCACGCACACCGAGGCAAGACGGGCGTCTACTGGACGGCGCCCCGCACCGAACCACCAGGCGGCACCTTCCGATGCGAGCTACTGCACGGCTTCACGCTTGCCTCGCCGACCGAGATTGACGCCATCATCCGCGAAGTGTCCGAAGAGTTTTTGGGAACCTCGTACAACCTGCTGACGAAAAACTGCAACCACTTCACCTCGCACCTGTGCCAGAAGCTGACGGGCTTGCCCGGGCCGGCATGGCTGAATCGCGCCGCCAGCATTGGTGTGGCTTTGCCTTGCGTGGTGCCCAAGGACTGGATCGAGGTGCCCGAGTACGATACTGCGGACGGCGAGCTGGTTGATGAGGCGCATCTTGGCGGTAGCGGGCAACAGGGACACGGAGGTGGAGGTGGAGGACGGGATAAGAGAGAGGAGCGGAGGGCAGCGAGAGAGGAAAGGAAAAGAGCTGCGAGGGAGGAAGACGAAGAGGAGCTGTTGGCAGACGAGCGGTCAAGAATGCTGAGAAGCCCGGGAGCGTCGCCGACGCTTGTGGACCTGGGAAGAGAAAGAAACCGCGAACGGCCAACAACGTCATACACTAATATCGGTAATGGTAATGAAGGGGAGGGTGATGGGCAGTATCGGGATGATGAGGGTGAAGCAGACGAAGGTGGGAAAGGAAAGGGGAAGGCGGCGGTAGCTACGAGAGACTCTGCTGGCAGAAAGCTACCGCCTGCGGAGAGAGCACCAACATCTTGAGATTAAGTTGCTTGGATGATGGGATCTCATATTATTTTTATTGGGGCCGGAGTTTCTGTTTTTGTTTTGCATGCATCGCTTGGAGTTTTTGGATCGGTGTTTTCTGGGTGGAGTCTGTTCGTTGTCTTTGGAAGGTTAGCTCTGCGCTCCATTAGCTTCTCTCTTTTCCTACGATACCAATTTCGAAGTATTGCATTCCATGGTAAAACAGTGATCTGTTGGTTACAGGAGGTCTCCTCTTGCAGACCATGTGGTTTTCTTTATTCTGCGTGTTGAGTTACTCGTTTTGCCTAAGCAACGAATGCTATTCTACTTATCTTCGCTTGATGGAACATTTCATGCAGTTTGTTTTGAACTTCCCTCTTGCATGCATCGATCAATCTACAGCATACTTTACTCTTACAGAATCTTAATATCTTATATACCTTTCAATCGCGGATACAAGTTAATCATTCAATAACGTCATTCTGTATCTGTTATCTTGTGCTTAAGAAACATCTGAATATTACAATCTTACACCTCACTGCCTGCCCACACACCTCTTTCCCATCGATCATTACAATTCACCTAGACAGATTAAGACGATAAAAAAACCACCAAAGAAAAAAAGGTGAAAGAAACACCCCGCCTTTGAGAGTGTGAACAAAAAGGCAATAGCGAAACAACAAAATCAAAAGAAATGTGACTGGAGTGGGATTCGAACCCACGCATCTTTCGATACTAGAATGCACCTCACTTTTGTGAAGAAGAACTTGTGTTCTTGAGTCTAGCGCCTTAGACCGCTCGGCCATCCAGCCAGTTGGATGATTGTTGAAAGTGGCTTGGAAAGTAGTGCTTATGTGGTAGTGCTACAAAACCCACAACATAACTCAACCGGGGGGTTTGTTTGCAACCACAGGAACGGGATAGATATTTAGGACAAGCATTATTTGGTAGGGAAAAAAAGAGGTTTGTAAGTATGAAAGAAATCTTTTGTGTCCAAGGCTCTATGCGCGGGTTTTGCTGCAAGTGAGATTCATTGTGGCAGGCGCAGGTTGAAAGTCGAGGAATGCATCACAGCGTCCACTCCTCAATGCACAGCCGAATTGTCAAACGTGCATTATGTTCAATGAATTCCGAAACATCTGTATCTGTTATCTTAGGTATAGAAACGCGATAACCGTTTGACATATGCCAGGTGTACCTCTACCATACTTCTCCTTTTTGGCGTTCGGGCGCTCGCAATTCGCAGCCTCTCATGTAACCAACAGAAAGCTGAGCGGGCGACTGGCTGGCTGAACGTATACACGTATAAGACCAATGCAAGAAATCAAATGGCATTATCCCCGTGAGACCGATTTATCGTATTATTTCAATTGGATCAAATCACTCGTCATGGATGCTGTGTAACCTTTCTGTTCACTGGTAACCAAGCAGTCAAGACACATTTTTGGTTCCTCTTTACATATACCATACCAACCTCTTTCCATTTTTCCCTTCGTTTACAAAGAAAACCGAAACATTCTCTCCTCATTTCTCGCCAGCTTGTCCAAACATCCAGCTATACTTAAAGAAAACTCCCATTAGCCAGTTCAAGCAACAACCGGCGCCGCCACCTTCTTCTCTCCCTTAAGTCCCTTCAACGGCCCGGCCTCGCCCCTCTCCACCCTCTCATTCCACACAGCCATCTGCTCGCAGAACCCTTCCAACGTAGTCGTCACGCCCTTGTACCCGATCCCACCCTCCTCCACCGACTTTCTCGCCCTGGAATCATCGCAGATCGTGTACGCCGACACGGTGAACACAGCCGGCTGCAACATGGCCAAATCACCCGTCGGCTCCTTCCAACCGAACCACTTGGTCAAGACAGGGAAGTTGACAATCAGATCCGACCACGCCTCGATGGCGTACGCGAGCATGAGCATGAGCGCAGGCGGCGGGTAGGTCTCGGTGATGGGCGTGGCGGAGAGGGTGGCGATCATGGTGTAGAAATCGGTAAAGGCGATGGGCGGGCCCGGGTCGGTGACGAGCAAAGGGCGGCCGGCGCAGGGGGGCGGGACGGGGCGGGCGGCCGGGTTGAGCGCGGCTTCGAACTGGAGGTGGGCGATGGAGACGTTGCGCGAGGAGATCCAGTTCTGGATGACGTGCGGCGTCCAGGAAATGACGGCGCCGGTCTTGAGGGTGGGACCAAAGGTTACGTCGTTCTCGACGTCGCCGAAGATGCCGTTGCCGGGGCGGACGACGCCGGTGCGGAAGTTGGGATGGTTGGCGGCGCAGACTAGACGTTCGGCTTCGGCTTTGGCGCGGGCGTCTGGTTTTTTGTGTTAATCAAGAGATAACTAACTAACTAACCAGGTTTGGTGATGAAAACTCACAGTTACCAAAGAACTCATCATGGGCCTTCAACGGTTGATCAAAGTCATCCTCGTTGAACACTTGGACATAGTTGGTTGCCAGACTGGGGAGAGGCCATCTCCAGAATGGCATGCGCTTGACGGCAACGGAGGAAGACGATGTGGCGATGAAGATGTCCGCACCGGCCTCTTTGGCAGCAGCCAGGACGTTGGCGGTACCACTGACGTTCACGCGAGCGACACGGTGATAGGTCTTGACGCTCCGCTCACCGGGACGAATCGCAGCGGCAGTGTGGTAGACGGTCAGGGGAAGGTCGGCAACAGACGCAGGCCATGGCTTGGAGAAGGCTGCCTTCACAGACTCGGGCGAGGTGATATCTGTCTTGATGACATCGACCTTGCTGGCCACACCGATAATTTCGGGACGACGAAGAGGGGCGAAATCGACAATCCGGATGCTCTCCGCGGACTGTCCACGAGCCAGCAAGTGTGCAACAATGTCACCTCCCACAAGACCTATCACGGGCGTGTCAGTTACGGTTACCCCTTTTCAGGTTTGCCGGGCACGGGGAAATTTGGAGCTGGCATGTGCTCGTGAAAATAACAAAAAAAAAAAAAACTGACCGGAGCCGCCCACAACGATGTAGCGTCTGTCCAACTTGGGCGGAATATGCTTCTTGATATCGATGGGGTTCTTCTTGACCCGTTCATACGTTTCCCGCATATGCTCCTTAGACCAGCGGTTCGATTCGGGCGACAGCTTCAGGGCTTCGGGTGGGACCGTGTTCATAGTCCGGTTGACTCCATAGATCCAAAGCGCACCGGCGACAACGACCACAAGGCCCAATGGCAAAAGACCAACACCCTCCGCCATGATTTCTCGTGTGGCTCGTGATGTTTGGCCTTGGTGTAGACCTGGTTGCTGGAGTAACTCCCGAGAGATGCGAGATCCCGCTGCCTGTCTCCAAAGTCGGGATTCTCAAGACGTTGTGCGTCTCGAGTAGCAGCCGTGGTAAGCAAAAAACGCAGTGCAACCAGGATGCTCCACTGCTTGCTGCGCACGAGAAAAAAAAGAATGAAGCCGTTGCCGGTGTTGTTTAACCAGAGATTAGGATTCACGCTGGTCGTTGCGGTTCTGCCTTCCCCCCTTTTATTTATCAATATCCGCGTATCCGCGTCCTAGGCCAACCGAGACTATTTGTCCCCTCAGTAAGCAGCAGTAGTTTGTTCCTAGTTGTTTGAGCGCCTGAACAAGGATCGGCCACGTAGAGGTAGATCTAGGGGTCGCTACCAGGTGGAAAATCCCTGGAATAATCCTTCTGAAGCCGCGCTGCCGCGGTGCATTCGGATATTTGATACGCTGCAAATTGCTGCTTGCTACGTAGTTGCTACCGACCGAAGGCGCCGTGGAAGCCCAAACCATTGCAAGCAAACATTGGACATCCTATCGCCAACATTGCGGTTTGAGTCCGTGGCGCCTTTCTGTCATATAAAAATGGGATATGAGTGCAAACATCAATGCGTAACGAAGCTTTGGGTCCTCAACGGTCATGTGAAGAGCCGCGTAACAAACTTGGATACACGAACATTTTCTCAAAGACCCTGAATATCACCACTTACATATGTTGGCCCGGTGACAGACAGCATTGCTCCCGAACGGCTGAGAGATGACATGGCGGCCACGCAGATGGGCGACGATGGTGCGTGTAGCAAACGACTGCCAGATCATGTTAAGAGGGCTTTTATCCGAACACAGCGCGCGGATGCCGTTATAACAGACTTCAGAGCGTCGTCTCACATTGCATGGCATGACGGAAGGTCGTCAGAGACACAGGTGGTAACAGGCGAGCCAGCGCGGCTGTTGGCGATGACCACCATCCACCAACACGTACCATGGCGGTAGGGGTGTGCGCACAAACGGTTGCAGGGTTGCTTTGCACAAGCACGATCTCCAGGGAGCCGAGCTCATGAGGAACATTTGCTCTTCTTCGCGAATGTCGCTGCCGGTTCGTCCAAAGGCTTTGCTCGCTTTGGCCAACTGCTCGGCGTTTTGACAACAGACATTGGGTAGAAGCCATGTCTCTGTTCGTCCGTTTGTTGCCCCCGAGATGAGGAATTGCAAAACGCTGGAATGCGTCGAAGACTTGAGACCGGTCCAGTTCGTGGCCCAGTTCGTGGCCCAGTTCGTCAGATCTTCCAGCGGCACATCTCGGCTTGCGATAGCGAGGTGAACCGTCGCCTCAAATACTCGCCGTTACGAATATGCACCCAAAGGCGATCATCTGCCAGGCCCCCGAACGGTGGGCACATGATAGTCTTGGTCAATTTCTCACGTCCCACAGCAGTCCGCACAAATTTGGCGAAGAAAATTTGTTGTTGGTGATGCCGACCCGACGTTGTGGAATCGCAACCCATCCGGATGATCCAGGGCTGTCAGGGAAAGCCGCGGGAGAGCAGAGAGGTACCCAACTGAAGTTACAGAACCATGCAATGCAAAATGAGATGGTCGTCGGGGAAGCTCCTTGGTGAGCCTCTCACTGCCCGCCGTTGACCTCACTTCACTTCTCCACAAACCAATTGCGACCTCTGATTGGTGCACCGCCACAAGTGTGCTTCAACACCGGTGTGTGCGCTTCGTGCCTGCCCGCCTGCACTGCAGAGCTGCAGCGCCGGAACATGCCCGATCACCTAGGTACGGGTGGGACCGTGAATGATGGACGTGCCTTCCGCCACGTGCATCACGTGTGGGGTTGGATCTCAACTTGAGGCTGGTGCTGACATTCGAACCGCATGAGAGACGGCGGAAGTAAATCCAAGCGATTTGAACGGCATCGGTGTCGCTGTGAAGGATTCTGCAGCACTAGGTACGAAACATTGCGGTTGATAAAGAACTGTGGCTTTCTGGTCTGCAGCGTCTTTGACATCTTCGGATCGATTTCTCAGCTGGGCAGGCAAGCTGGGTGCTCCACAACTGGATCTACGCAGCGATTGTGACTGGCGGTGACTTTGCGAGACGACGTCGCTTTGTACCGGTACATGTACAAATAAAAGGCACACACCTCGCCTCGCGTCTGCAAAGTTATACATACGGAACAAAAGAATATGGAACTCAGGTAGGTACATAATGCTCAAGTTCATCCCAAATTCGTTCGACGGACACATCGAAGAAATGCTTTGACCGCCCGCGCTTGGGCATGACTTACAAAGATGCCACGGCCATGCCAAACCGCGCGAAAGAGAGAAAAAAAAAAGAAGAAGGCGGGTTGTTGACCAACATTCCCATGGCATCCGAACAACAAAACTCCCAAGCGAAGGGATTGGTGCCATTGGTGCCGCATCTGTTATCTCTCTGGTTGGCCCGCGAACCTGTTGATGAATGGAACCCATGTCTCTTCGGGATTTCCCTTTCCTGATCCGCATTGATTGGCTTCCAATGCACTGTGATGTGACCGCCCAGTCGAACG